ATTTATTTTTTTTTGAGACAAGGTCTCACTATGTAGTCCAGCCTGGCTTTGAACTATGAAAACTCAGCCTCAAACTCAGTGATTCTCCTGCCTCAGCCTCCAGAATGCTGGGATTATAGGCATAAACCACCATGACTGGCTTATTTTAAGCTTCTTCTTGTGTTTTTTGGTTGAGAAGGTGAAAGTGTTTCACCATGTAGCCCAGGCTGGCTTCAAACTCACAGTAATTCTTCTGCATCAGTTTACTGAATGCTGAGATGACAGGCAAGTGTCACCATGCCCAGCTTGTATCTTGTTTTATCATAGAAACTATGTGACATTTAAACTTGTATCTGGGGCTGGTGAGATGGCTCAGTGGTCTAAAGCACCTACTTAGAACAAACTTAGCAAAGCACAGGAACCGCGGTTCAATCCCCCAGCACATGCCAGCCAGCCCCGCCCCCTGGTGGGCTGAGCTGGCCACACACACACACACACACACATAGATAAATAAAATTTTTTTAAAAAAAAGATCATAAACTTGTATCTGATTTCACTTAATATTATCTGAAAGTATGTCTATTCATCTTCAAATGCCTTTATGGCACAGCACTCCAATGTACAAAATATTTTATCTATTCATTTATTGAGACGTATAAGCTACTTCCCGAGATTTAGCTATTATGAGTTGCGGTGCTATGAACATAGGTACCCACGTATCTCCTTTAAATCTTCTGAAGAGCTGGGCATGGTGGCACACACCTGTAACCCCAGCACTCAGGAGGCTGAGACAGGGCAGGGGCAAGGTAGCATGAACGGAGAATAGCTGGGTCAGATGGATTTCCAGTTTTAGTCTTTTGAGGAATCCCCATACAGATTATCATAGGGTTTGTACTTTTACACTCCCCACAGTGTACAAGGGGTCCTTTTCCCCCACAGCCTCACCAGCACTCATTGATTTCCTGATGGCCATTCTTTCTGGAGTAAAATGGTGTCTGTGTTGTTTTAATTTGGATTTCCCTTTTTTTGACATGTATTTCTTGGCTATTTGTACTTCTGAGAAGTATCTGTCACTTTGCTTGCCCATAAAGTATGTTCTAGTCACATAGCTCACTTTTTTTTTTATGGCTGGCATAGCCCACACTGGGGGCAGGGTGCTGGCATGACATGTGGTGCCAGGGATCAAACAGTAGTCCCTGTCCCTGCCTTTGCCTAAGCAGGTGATTTAGACAGATGAGCTATCTCACCAGCCCCATCACAGCTCACTTTCTCCTGACCCTTCAATACTTTTTTTTTTCCTTCAATACTTCTGAAGTGAAAGTCAGTGACTTAGTGTCCACTGGCTGCCTAGGAATCCAAATTTTTTTAATTTTTTTTTTTTTTTTTTTTAAAGACAGGGTCTTGCTATGCAGTTCAGGCTGCATTGAGCTCACTTTGTAGCCTGGGCTGGTCTTGAACTTTCAACAGTCCTCCTGCTTCAGCCTCCTGAATGCTAGGATTACAAGTGTGTACCACATGCTGGGCTTGAAATCCAGATCTTGACAGTTCTGAGACTTGAACCCATTCCTGACGGATTTCCTCTTCTCACAGGTCTTCCCTAGCTCCCCAGTTCTGGCAGTCGCTGGGCACAGGCACTCCCCAGGCCTGGCTACATACCCTGTCCTGGTAACCAACTTCACTGCCTTCCAGCAGATGGCCTTCCCTGTGTTCATTAACATCTCCTGTGCACTCACTAGGCAGAATGAGGCTGTGGTAGTGAGAGCTATGAGAGGTAAACCTAATGCAGGTGAGCACTGGGGACTTGCAGTTCCAACCTTGAAGGGGGAAGGAAATACAATGTATCATTCACTATTTTGTTAATGGGAATCATTCAGCCACTTAACTAAGACTGCTCAAAGTAGCCAGGGATGACCTCTATCCCAAGAGTATTAGAACCTTTAGTTTTCCTATCACTAGCTAAATGTTATACTTTAAAAAAAGACAATGAAAAAAGGGTAGCAGGGTCTGGTGGCACATGCTTATCATCTCAGCATTTGGGAGGCTGAGGTAGGAGGACTACAAATTCAAGGCTAGCCTGGGCTACAAAGTGAGTTCAAGGCCAGCCTGAACTGCACAGTGAAACGTGGGCTCAAAAAGGGGGCTTGGTAGATAGTTCAGCGGTCTAATTGCCTGCCTGGCAAAAGCAAGGACCCAAGTTTGATCCCTGGTACCACATGCCATGCACGCCCCAAAACCTGGTGTGGTGGTACACGACTACAATCCCAAAGCTGGAGAGGCTGAGACAGGAGGATCATTATGAATCCAAGCTACATAGTGAGACTCTATACCAGATGAATGATTTTTTTTTTTTTTTTTTTCGGAACCAGGGATCGAACTCGGGCCCTTGCACTTGCCAGGGAAGCGCTTATTCCACTGAGCCATCTCCCTGGCCTTGGGGTTTTCTTTAATGTATTTTGTAGTCTACAGGGTCTTACTGCGTGATCAGATCTGTGGCGATCTTTCCTGTTTTTCAGGACCAGGGTGGGGCTGGGGAGATGACTCAGTGGAATAAGCACTGCCTGGCAAGCACAACGGCCTGAGTTCAATCCCCGGTTCCACAAAAAAAAAAAAAAAAAGACCAGGAAGATAGCTCAGAAGAATAAGCACCTGCCTGGCAATCACAGGGTCCTGAGTTCAATCCCTGCTACATCTCACCCCCCTAAAAAGCACCACTGTTCTTCAACCTCCCAAATGCTGGGGTTAGAGGCACCACGCCCAGTCTCAATCCGTTTCAGCACAGCTGGCACTTGGCAGGCCAAAAATGAACCCTTCCCTCCTCCCGTTCCGCCCCCCCATCTGCCTATGCAGGTGCTTTAATCCACTGAGCTATCTGGCTGGCCCTAGTGTAGGTTTAAAGTACTGTTGCTAGGTACTTTTATGACCAACCATATTTTCAAAGATAACCTATGCCATGTTATTAGCCACTGTAGCTAGGGGTAGTAGTATACAACTGCAGTCCCAGCGCTCAAGAGGTAGGCTGAGATAGGAAAGCCTATTAGAATCACGGCTGAGGGGCCGGGGAGATAGCTCAGTAGAATAAGCACTTGCAAAATAAAGAATAAGCATTTGCCTGGCAAGCGCAAGGGCCTGAGTTCAATCCCTGGTTCTGGGAAAAAATAACTAAAAAATACAGCTGATTTCTCAACACAAATTCTCAGTTAAAGGAGAGCTTAGAGCAAAGTATTTCAAAATCTAAAGGAAAACAACCTCCAACTCAGACCGATGTATCCTGCCAAACTCTTTCAAAATTGAGAAATAAATATCATGGTGGTCAAGGCCAGTGTGGGCTACACTGTGAGTTCAAGGCCATCTCAGACTACACAACAAGACCCTGTCTCAAACACCAAAAGGAGGACTGGCCAGATAGCTCAGCGGATTCAAGTGCCTGCTTAGGCAGAGCACAGCAGCTGGGGTTAGATCCCAGCCACGCCAGGTGCCAGAGATGGCAACTGAGACTGGGCATGGTGGTGCGCACCTGTAATCCCACTGCTTAGTAGGCTGAAAACAGGAGAATCACTGAGTCTCATCTATGTAGTGAGACCCTATAGGCCCTGCAGCAAATAAAAAAAACAAAACAAAAACCACCAAAAAAAAGCCAGGTATGGTAGCACACACATATAAACCCAGCACTTGGGAGGCAGGATTGTTGCAAATTCGAGACCAGCATGGGCTACCTGAGCTGCATAGCAAGACCTTGTCTCAGACAAGAAATAACAATAACCACTGTCTTGTTACATCCAATATACAGATAAATATGAAGATTTGGGCGTCTTCAGCCGACTGACTGGTTCTTCCCAGATCTTCTTCACCTTCTTTGTGGTGCTGGCATCCACAGCTTTCCTCTTTTTAGGTAAGGCATCCTATATTCAGCACTGTGGACTCCAACTGTCACAAACCAAGCAGGGATGAAAATGAATACCCACGGTAGCCTTCCCAGCCCACTCGTCTAAGATTAAAAATCCTTTCCCACTTAACTACCAAACTGTGTAACCACTCAAATGTAAATCACTCAAGATAAAAAGCTCCTTTTGACTGGATGTTGCAGCACAGGGCTGTAATGCCAGCACCCAGGCATCTGAGTTGGGAGACTACAGGAGTCTGAGGCCAGCCTGAATGACACAACCTGTCTCAGAAATTTAAAACCAGGGCCAGCAGATAGCTCAGTGGTCTAAAGCACCTGCTTAGGCAGATGCAGGGGCCAGATTCAATCCCCAGTGTGCCTGTGCTGGACCCACCCCCCAGGGCACGCTGAGATGACTGCATGTGGTGGTGTACACCTTGTAATCCCAGTGCTCGGGAGGCTGAAAAACAGGATCACTACAAACCTGAGTAGAGAGACGCTGTACTATATACATTAAAAAAAAGCTAAAACCAAAATGTTCATCTTGTTCCAATTCATGGCTAGACATGATCCAGGTAAAACATATGACTTCACCCACAGCCCCCCCCCCCCACCAGGCCCTTCTGCTGAGCCATCTCCCCAGCCCAAACACCTAGGTTTGAGGCTGTAATTGTCTTTCACTTTGAGGACTGGCTCTAGGACATACAAAAAATAGTTCCTCCCATATATTTGAAATCATCCCTACGTAACTTAAAATGCCTAATATAAACTGTCATTACCCACACTACTATTCAAGAAATGACAAGCCAAAACATCTATTCATTAAAAATACATGATAGGGGCTGGGGAGATGGCTCAATGGAATAAGCGCTTCCCTGGCAAGCACAAGGGCCTGAGTTCAATCCCTGGTTCCACAAAAAAAAAAAAAAAACGATTGCAGTTTTTAATCTGTAGTTGGTTAAATCCATGGGTAGAGGGCAGACTAATATGAGATGTTACTTTTCATACCAATACCTAAAGGGACTCGATTATCAAGGCCTTCTTCCATTCTTTAACATCTCTTCCTTCTAGCATACAACGCTTTCATAAACAAGATACAGACTGTTCCAGTTGTGTATGTACCAACTGTAAGAACACCACAGCCAGGTAAAAAACCATTGTCCCCCTTTGGCCAGAACTGCCATGTTACAGTAATTTGTCAAAATGACAAAACAGGGAGAAGGGAATCCAGCATAAATTCTCTAGACCTTTTAGAAGAGGTGGATCGTTCTTTTTTGGTCACACACATGCAAATCTTCAAAGGGGGTGGTCAAAGAAATGAGTACTATTCAAAAAAGAGACATCACACATATGTTACTGTGGCAAAACTAGCATCTACAATGTTACCCAGCATGCTGCTGGGATTTAAACAAGCAAGGGCAAGATACCTGCCAAGACTGAGGTACTTATTGAGCACATTAAACAGTCCAGTCAGGCATGGTGACTCCCATTCTTTTATTTCATTTTTTGAGACAGGGTCTTGATCTGCAGGTCAGGATGGCCTTGACTCACTTTGCAGCCCAGGCTAATCTCAAACTCCCAAGAATCCTCTGCCTCAGCCTCCCAAGTGCTGGAGTGCTGGGATTACAAGCATGTGCCACCACACCTAGCCAAATTAGTTTCCTTTTTCAGTACTGGGTACCAAACCTGGAACCTTCCATTTGCCAGGCAGGCACTTACGCCACTGAGCTACATCCCCACTGCATGCCTTTAATCCCAGCACTCAGGAGGGTGAGGCAGGAGGATCACTGCGAGCGGGTTACAAAGTGAGCTCAAGGTTAAGGTCGAGCTGCATAGGGACCCTGTCTCAATTTAAAAAAAAAGAAAAAACCTTAGTCCAGATAGCTTCCTGAAATTTATCAAGGAAAATGATCAAAGTTAGGGCCGGGGATGTAACTCAGTGGTGGAGCTACAGCCTGCCTTTCATGGCCAAGGCCCTGGGTTCCGACCCCAGCACAAACAGTACCAGCCTGCCCCACCCAGAGCAGCACACTTCCTGAGGTGAGAACCAATGGGAAGGAGCCCACGTTGCTGGAAACCTATTCCTATGCTCAACACCTAATTACTGCCTCACTTTCTAGGCCCTCTTTAAACAAATTATTTGAAGCAGGGTCTCACCATACCTAATTATGTCAGATCTTTAGTCTTCAGTGTTTTTCTTGCTGAAAGATTTTTGCAGAGGTAAGTGTATACATAGAACTTGGAACATCATATGAACTTGAAAATACATCCCTACTGGGGAAAGATACCAAAATAAGTAGGAATCACTATAAATGGTCTTTCAGTTAAAATTGTTTCCAAGTAGAAAACCACTACCATCCCACTTCATGAAGCTCAGATAACCATGCTCACCTTAATCATTATCTCCTCCTTTCTTCTAGGCCTTTATACCTCCACAAATTCTCTCTCAACCTTCACCAGCCCACCAGCCCCAGTCCCCTGGAGCAGGCTTCCACGCTGGGTATGGAGTGCAAGGCACTAACCAGAATGTGGAGGAATATCCTGGAACTGTCAGGGAATGAAGATTTCCAGCCAGTCACGAAGCCCAGCCACATTCGCTACCCTATGTATCAGAAGCACGGTTCTCAAAAATGTAATCTCAGTGTTTTAAGCTGTTTTAATAAAACTGTTGGACTGTGTTGTAAAGTCAGTTCTTTTGAGATTGGGCGTGGTGACACGTGCCTGTAATCCCAGGGCTTGGGAGTCTAAAAGTGGGAGAAACACTATGAATCCAATTTACATGGTGAGACCTGTAGACTCTCCAGGCCCTGTATCAACTACAAAAAGAGTCAGTTCTTACTAAGAAAACAGGTCAAAACACTCCCATTTACCCACTTACTTGCCCCACATGACTATTCCATTCTTCTGGCTGCCCCTAAATACCAGAGGTACGAACTTTCTAGCAGTTAAACATGACAATAAACAGGATATATCCAAAATGTGTTTATTGGGATGGCTTCCCACTCATCTTGATTGAGGGTACTGTTAGTGCTGCTTCCTCCTGAAGGAACATCCTGGAAGAAAAGAACTGAACGTTACCTGGCAACACCCCTACCTGCACAGCCCACTGCCCCAACCCCTAGAAACAGAACACCCAGAGCTTCTCCACTGGTACACCTTCTGTCATTTTCCATCAGTCACTTCATGTCAACTTTTTTTCTGCCTGAGAAGCCTCTTTCCCAGAACCTATAAAGCCCCAACTTGGACTCAGTGCTGTGGGGACTCAGGTATGGTTTCTTTCATCTTTTTCCAGGTATGGTTTCTAGAAATGCTTTACTTAAAAAAAATTAAGTCCCGGGAACCCTTTACAAAGCAGTCTCAAAGTTTTACATCAAGCAACTTTTATTAAAAAAAAGAAAAAAATTTTAAATTACAGACAACCTCAAAACATTTCATAACTTATAATATGTTCTGTGGATAAAAACACTTAACAACTGTCAGGAAGCAATCTTGCGCTTCTGATATAATGACCAATCGAAGAGTTGAGGATTTGTTTTTATGCGGGTCTCACTGCCTCAGTTCAGGATTACCGGGGATAGCCACCATGCCCAATAGAAGCAGGACCACTCCAAACGTATGACAGCAAAACCCACAACCCCGGGCAAGCCACTTACCTTCTGTGAGCCTTGCTTTCCCTCCTGTAGGCTGGCACAGGACAGTGGAGCAGCCAACACACAGAACTACCGTCTGTGCATGGCTAAAGACCGTGGTGATTTTATAGCATCCTAGCGCAGAGAAAGCAACGGGTCAGTAGCTCGCGGAGCCACGCCTGTGAGCTCAGTGCTCTTGGGGGGCGGAGGGACTCAAAATCCACTGCCACCTGCGCAACTCTGTGAACTCTGCCAGTTCAACCTAACTTCCTTTCCACCTAATGTGGAAATTTCTTTCAGGGGAGACCACGCGACCTGATTGCTCCTGCCATGGGAAATTTCACCTGTTTGCTAAAGGGAATTTTAGGAAAACCGCAACAGCATCCCCTCCGCACAGGAAAGCGGGCGCAGGGGCTTGGCCGCACCGCACGTCCACGCCACCGCCGGGGCCCGCGCTCACCTGGGCACTTCACGTCCATGAAGTAGGAATTGGGGCTCTGCACCAGGCGCTTCTTCTTGTGCTTCCTCTTCTCCTCCTCCGGAGAGGGATGAAGGAGATCTTTTGCGAGCTACAGGGGCCGAAAAGGGAAAACTTAGTTAAGAACGGCACCAAGGGGCCGGCCGAAAGCAGCCTCTCTGCCCCGCGCCCGGGCATCTGCGCGGCCGGCCCGCCATCTTAGCTCCGCCGGCGCCCGTCTAGCGGGGTCCGCAGCCGCCGCGCCGCCTGGGGCGAAGGCCCGGGTACGCACGCACGAGGGGTAAGCGAGATCCTCTACTGTCTGAGGCCACCGTAAGGGGCGCGTGCGGACACAAGAGCGAGAGCTCGGCCGAAACCCGGCCCAAGGAACTCACAGGCATGTTCTCGTAGGGGGTTCGTCACCGCCGGAAAGGAGCGAAGGCGGAAATCCTGTGCATTATATAGAGCATCCGGCCGGAAGTGACGCACGCGCTTTGAGGCCGCCATGTTGAGAAGGTCTGGCACCTCTCGGTCTGCGGTAGAGCGTCTGGGACTGCCATTTTCAGAAGGTCTCTAGGCCGGGGAGAGAGCATAGCAAGCGAAAGGTCCTGAGTTTGATCCCTGGTACCAAAAAAAAAAAAAAAAAAAAAGTCACAGAAGGTCTCCAATAACCCACATATGGGACTTCATGTTCAGAGAATTTGTCTTCTTGTAATGAGTCAACTCACGTTTTAGATTATAAGTGTAAATCTTGTGCTTTCTGTTGTAAAAATGTATACTTACCACTGTTCTAAGTTGTTTAGTAACTAGTGGCTGTTTCTTGCTCTTTGCTAAGATAAAACTCCTGTAACCCTCACCAATTCCTGTTACCAAAGTTACTTACAGAGATGACTTCAAAAGGAAATTAAATAGGCTTTAACTTCTTGTAACCTCCCGGCTATGCAAGGCTGCCTGCAGGTACTCAGGTGCAAATTAACCAGAAACTGAAATAAAAGCCCTAGGAGGGGCTGGTGAGATGGCTCAGTGGTCTAAGGCACCTACTTAGAACAAGCTTAGCAAAGCACAGGGACCACGGTTCAATCCCCCAGCACCACATGCCAGCCAGCCCCGCCCCCTGGTGGGCTGAGCTGGCCACACACACACACACACATAAATAAATTAAAAAAGAAAAGAAAAAGAAAACTGTTCACTTTTTCATCAAAAAAAAAAAAAAAAAAAAAAAAAAGCCCCAGGAAATATAGTTTAAGTAGTGGTCACAATCATTCTGAAAGCATTATTTTGTGTCAGACAATGAATTTGTTTACCAAACTGAATGTGGTCATTCAGTGAATTTGTTTATCAAACTCAATGTGGTTCCAGGTTTTAAAACCCCTTCCTGCTTCCTGGGCTGCCGCCTTTCCCCTTTCGGTCCTCTCCTGCATGAGAGCAGACTGGGAACGCCCTGAGCTCAGTAATAAACGGCTTTCCAAATTCCAATCTGGTTGATCTCGTTCCTATTTTGAGTGACCCATAACATTCTGATTTCAGTTCAGCGTTTATTCACTGTCAAGTGATGGGTGAAGAGGCCGGGGAGATAGCTCAGTAGAATAATTGCTTGCCTGGCAAGGGCAGGGTCCTGAGTTCAATCCCTGGTACAGAAAATAAATAAATAAATAAATAATAATAATAATAGAGAGATGGGTGAATATTTTTACATTTCCTGCCTGCCGGACGTGGTGCTTAAGGCAAGAGGTTTGCCACAAATTCAAAGCCAGACTTGATTACAATAATGAGTTCAAGACCAGCCTGAACTACATGGCAAGACCTTGTCTCAAAAAGATCACAAATAAATACACAGGGCTGGGGAGATAGCTCAGTAGAATAAGCTCTTGCCTGGCAAACACAAGGTCCTGGGTTCAATCCCCGGTTCAGCTAAATAAATAAATAAACAAATGAAAATTTCTTGCTATCCGCCTGCCATGCTGTGACAGAACGCGCCTGTAATCCCAGAACTTGGGAGGCTGAACACAGCCAGATCACTGAGTCCGATGTACATACTGAGACCCTGTAGACCCTGTACTAAAATACAAGAGAGAAAGAAAGAAAGAAAGAGAGAGAGAGAGAGAGAGAGAGAGAGAGAGAGAGAGAGAGAGAAAGAAAGAAAGAGGGCCAGGGAGATGGCTCAGTGGAATAAGCACTTCCCTGGCAAGGGCCTGAGTTCAATATCTGGTTCCTCAAAAAGAAAGAAAGAGGGGCTGGCAAGATAGCTCAGTGGAGGGGCCAGGGAGATGGCTCAGTAGGATAAACGCTTGACTGGCAAACTCAAGGATCTGAGTTCAATCCCCGTTTCCGCAAAAAAAAAAAAAAAAAAAGAAAGTTCAGTGGTCTAAAGCGCCTGCTTGGGGGCTGGAGAGATGGCTCAGTGGTCTAAAGCACCTACTTGAAACAAGCTTGGCGGGCTGGAGAGATGGCTCAGTGGTCTAAAGCACCTACTTAGAACAAGTTCAGCGAAGCACAGGGACCACGGTTCAATCCCCCAGCACCACATGCCAGCCAGGCAGGTGGGCTGAGCTGGCCACACACACACACCACACTCTCTCTCTCTCTCTCTCTCTCTCTCTCTCTCT